CTGAGTGGCAAACAGACAGGTCTGAGAATCTGAGAACAAAGGCAACAATGAGATCCAACCTCAAAGTCCGGCCAAATACCTCATAGGTATTAGGGAAACTTGAAAACAAGCGAATTAGCGGGAATGTAATTTATAGTCAAAAAAGAACAAAGACACGAACTGGTCAATGCACATGGATTGTTGATCATACGGCTTTGCTTGGACAGCGGAGTATCTCGAAAGGAAACCCTAAACCAGAACGCTACCTAAACCCGAAGCTCCGCCAACCTAAAGCCTTTGAGATCACTGCGCGCGTGGGTGGCATCCTCGCCCCCATGTCTGGGACCCTCCCGGCCGCGGCTTGCCGTCCATGTCTACCCGAAGCTGCAAGGGTATGAAAGGGGTTTGCCTGTTTGGTTGATCCCAGATTCAAAGAGGTATGAGCCTTTTTGGCTTCAGGTTGCAAGGCTTTAGTGGGAGATGGGTTAAGCTATAGCCCTGAAAGAAATCCGAGGTTCGCTCTTCCTAGCTGCGTAGGACTATGCTCCAACTCAGGACCCAGAGCCCGAAGCTTTGTATCCCACATGGATCCTAAATCCGTAAACTCTAATCGTCTAATCGATCCTACACCCTACGGACAACCGCAAACCAAACGTTCTCAAGATCTCCCCTCATCACGAATACTCAAAACGATGCTCTTGAGAGTTGGACCCAATCAATCTCCGAATCATGTACTGGTACCCTTACAGCAAGTACGGCTTGAGTCGAGATCGAATGCCAGCAACACAAAAAACTCTTCCGCCCTCATCAGCGCCGACCATATTACTTGCCGAAGCTTCGTTCATGACTGGCACTCTGTTTAGCTTAATAAATCGTAGCCTTTGAGTTGATCCGCGATAGGAAAGTCCTTGGTATATTACTAACAAATAGATTTGCCTCCGCACCTTCCTTAATCAAGCCCACAGCTCTACACCGGAAGCACTCAACCCTCAGTCCCTGCCTGAGGCAGTGTCCTGTCCAGCCTTCGGCAGTTTGTGCATGCTAGCAGTAGTAGCTACGCTGACCCTCCCAGAGAGGATCGGGGAGGAAGCGTAGACGGGAGCTTGTCAAGGGGCTTACCTAAAGAGGCCGATACGCTTTACTTTAGACCCGGGGTTCGAAGGGTTCGTATCCCCTTATCCAAGATATGCCTGAACATAGTGATCAGAAGCGCTGTAGTGTTTCGCGAATTCGGCTCCCTGGACACACAGTTTAGAGACCGCTGATCTTTGCGATCCCGAATATATACACTTTGGGAATTCTCGTAGAGTTGCTCATTATTGACAGAGACCTTTCTCGGTCGAAACACAACTTGACAGCCCTACACTCCTTATAAACCTAAACCTTAACCAATTAAACGACAGGCCTTGACTCTCTGAGCCCGACATCTGCTCTTGACCCCGCAGCTCCGAAGAGCCCGGAACCAGCTCACATTTTCGGGCTTAGGATTTGTGGCTTTATTTTGGGGACGCTTGGGTGTTGGCCTCCCATGAAGTCATCCTCATGTAGCATTCTCTCTTGAAGCATGTGTAAACCAAGCCCAGCTTGTGAGCCACTCTCGTTTGAATTCAGTTAGCTCCTGGAGAGCCCATTAACACCGAAAAGTAGTCATTGTCAGTACCGCTACCACATTCCAACTCTAAGCCACTTGTTTCAACCCTACATTCTCGACGAAACCGGGAAACTGGGCTTTCTAGGCTGTTCATTCGCCACCCGCGCGAAATGCTCTGCGACAGTCGTGAAAGAATAAATGAGCGGAGGCCTTCAGGATGTAGGGTTCGAGCTTCGCGTTGTGATTTATGCAATCTGTCAGTTGCAACTTCTCTTGTTCGGGTTCGCAGTTCAAGATATGTTTTGACTACCTTGGTCAGATGTATTGGTCCCTGAACCCGAAGCCTTAAACTCTCAGAAGCCACATCCTCAATTCCCAGGTCCGGCTTGAGAGTTCAGGGTTTTAAGAACAGTGAGGGCTAGGACCCCAATCAGAGCTCCGTTACTTATCCATAATAGGTGTTGATGAGTCCTTGTGATATCTTGTGCTGGAGTTTCGTCGGATTTGGGCCAACGGCTCTGGGACCGTGAAAGCCCCTGAAGCTTCGTAGGGTCTTGGGGCTTCGGGCTGCTTCTGGGTTTGCGGCGTACTGGGCTTATGGCATGGTTGTGAAATATCTGAAGAGTTCGAGCTTTCGGACAGGTCCTATACGGTTTTCCGGTCAAGCTTAAGGTTTCGGCCTGAGTGCTCCAAGTTTAAAAGCAATTTAGGTCGTCTTCTAAGGGTTACTTGGTTTGCTCTACAGAGAGAACTTAAACAACGCACAGCTTTGGGGTTCGGTATGACCACGAACTCTATAGTGCCTATGCACACTAGTCCCTGTTCGCACCTGTCTTGCGCCCTTTGCCCACGCCAACAGATCGCGAGGTGCACCTCGCCAGACTTCCGCCCGCCTACATCGCCGTGAGTGGCACAGAGGTCCTGGCAGGCGATCGACTCGTCGGGTGATTGGGACTACGGGGTTCAGGGTTGAGACTGAGAGAGCAGGGTCTAGGGATCAGACTTCGCGGTTTCACGGAGAGTTCACAGCATAATGTACCTTCAGGAACCCCATGGGATGAGAAAGCAAGCCCATGCTCCCTTATGTTGCTTAAAACACCTTAGTCGGCTTTCACTTTGCGCTGTTTCTACAGGGCCACTGCGGAACCCGAACTCGAAACTGTAACCCCTGAGGCCTTGGATGCCAGACATGGAAAAATACTGAACCCTCCTCGATGAACCCGAAACACTGCAAAGTCCCAGCAATCCCGTCAAACCTGAGCTTTTCGCAGTGCTTCTCTGTCTCTAGGCTGTATGGGACCCCTTAAAGCCGAAACTAGGTGACAGCATCATCTTCGCCCAACGAGCTGCCGAGCACGGAGCAAGAGCCTGTCCCCGAGCAAACGGAACGGCAGGGGTGACTGCATTTGGGGGTCGAGTGGTTACTGTAGTGGAGTCTTGAGGAGAATGAATCGTGGGTAGATTTTATTTGCTGCAGCGCACGTGCATGTTACGACAGTGCAGAACAAAGCCAGTCGGAGTTATGAAATGCAAGACCGGCAAGCCGTTTACAAGCCAGGGTTGCCACGCCGCTACAAGTGCCATGGAGGCAAAGCGGCTGAAATACACTCCGAGCACTGACTTTCCGCCGCCTGATTGTCGGGAGGGCGAGAAGTTGTCGGCATGGTTCCGAGATGTTTTTGAAGCGGTTCCGATGAAGACCCCGCAGCCTCTGACAGATCGGCAGAAGCAGCTTCTGAGACTATCTGCGAAGGAGTATTGTGAAGAGCGACAAGCATGCAGAGTCACCTGCGAGGAGTACACCACTTTGCTGGTCAGACGGGCTTCTTACTACCGCTACATGAATCAGTGGACCTTCCGGAGCTACGATCTTTTCAGCGTTGCCGTGGAGCGCGCGAAAGCGTTGGACAGGATCGCGGAGTCGAAGGGTGTTGATGCCATTGGCCCTT